CACACAACATCAGAAGGCAAGAACTGAGGAAAGTTTCAGAGCTTCCATCCCATCCCTGCGCTGCAATAAAGCACTCAATACAAGCTCTCTTGGTATGTTGGGTGCAGGCACAGTGTAAACAAACAAGCAATACATAAATGAAGAATTTCTCTATATCAAGCGTAGCCCTGTTATTTCTTTGAAGAAGGGATTCATGGCTTTGCAGCTTTTTATGTTCTAACATGTTAAATTATTTGTGCAGCCTACACTATAAAATATCTTAAAGTATACAGCCTAAACTGTATACTGTATATTGTATATACAAAGTACTAAAATGTTGCTTAAATTGTTATTGTGTGCCTATTGTGATAATCCCATATCGGGCTATCACGTTGAATCATCTCTTTTATTAAGCAGCAGCGTGACCTTTTTGTGACCATGTTTCAGAGAGGCTCTTCAATATAAAAGTTCTCATTCAGAGAGCTGAGGGAGCGCTCCAGTTCGAGCCCGTGCCATAAGCTGACTGCTACCAGGTTTCCTATGCTGCCAGCACTGCCAGGGTTCAGCAGGCATGAAAAGCCTAGGGTGTCCTTAATGTGATGTGCAGTAATGACATTCTGTGGCTTGCTGGGTGCCAGCAGGTACGATCTGTAAGGGATCCAACCGCTTTTCTTTCGCTGGTTGTGATGGAGCACCGTGGAGCTTGTGCTATGAAAAATGGCAAATCTCTTTGAGTGAATGCTCAGTTTCCACGCCTGCCTTCTCTTTCCTACTGGTGGCAGCGAGCAACCTTGATTGGCAACAGCTGAATTCGGGAGTTTAAAAGAAAGAAAACACTAAACACTGACCAACTCAGATGCATAATGTATCAACATGTCTAAGAAGTGCAATACACTTTGATTCAAATGCACCAGATCTCTGTAAAGAGTAATCTTGCGTAGTAGAAGATACCATAAACAGAAGTAGTTTAATCCATGTAGATCATCTCATTAATATCATTGATCCCTGATGGCTTGAGTAACATGTTAAAAGAAACGCCTTTTGTAGACAGGTGGTCTTTTTGCAAACATACCCTTAACAGGCGTGACTCCTTTTTTGCTCCAGCACTCACTCCAGAGATTTGATCAGGTACCTTTTTCACCTCATAAATCCCATGAAATGCGTCCATCAGCTTTGTGTCTTAAAGGACAAAAAAAAAAAGAATTGGCAAAAAATGCTGTTTCTCTCCACTATTTTATGAATAGCTCTATTTTAAGCTTCAGATTCTTGATCCAGAGGAGGGGGGGCGGGGGGGAAGAGAGTCTTTTGGGTTTTGAGTACCTGCAGTTAAATGGTGTTGCTTTTGGCAGGGCACAGTGAGCAAATGAGGCATAATCTCTCTGATCTCAGTAGTCTGAGTTGTCAGCCGTGACATATTCCCAGTGTCCTTCCTTTCTACACCCTGTCTGGGCAAGAGCTGGACTCGGGCGGCCCTCGCAGGGGGGGGTGTCGAAGACCATGGCCTGCACTGTGCCAGCAGAGAGCAGGGCACCCTGGGACTTCCTCGGCTTCACTGCGGATCACGCAGCTTCACACCGGGTGGGAGCGGGCTGTGCCCTGACTGCAGGCCTCTGTGATTCAGGGGGCTCCTCGTTGGGGGGGAAAACTGGTGTTTCAGCATTTTCGGGGTGTGTGTGTGTGTGTGTCTGGGGTGGGGGGGCGGGGGGGGGTGGGGTTGTGCATTTAATTTCGCAGTAGAGAAATCAAACCTTGTCGTGAGCTGTGTAATCAAGTACTTTGTCCAGTGGCTTACTTGTGACTGGGCCTTCTCAAACTCACAGCTTTTCTTTTTTAAATTTCCTTACTGAAAACAGAATTTTAATGTCCCGTGATTATGTATCGAGATCATCCGGCTGCAAAATCTGTTTTCGCGATACAAAACACGTTCCTAAAAGTCGTTACAGGTTCCATGATACTCTTTTATGACGGGAACAAGTTTCTCAGTAAATGTGCTTTTCCAAGAATGCAAGATGATGGAAGTGGGCTCTCATATTCCAGTAGAATACGTTCTTCTTGTACAGGATTTGCAACAGAGTTTTCTTTGGAAAATGAAAAAAATAATGAACTGAAGTGGCGTTGATTATGTACATGTTTAATGTCTGAAATGCAAATTTTTGGTATCAGAAAAGAAGCTGAACACCTGCGTTATATCCAGTAATGTGTTTCAGCTGTGTCCTAACTTTTGAGGGTCAAAAATGCTCATAAAGGGCTCTTTGTCTGCTCAGAGGCTTCATGAAATCGTGTCACTAAAAATAAAGATTTCTTTTTTTTTTTTCTGCTGTTAGTAAATGAAACGTATATGTTTTAACAAGCTGGAATTCCACGCCAACAGCCCCGGAAAGTTGCTACAGAGAGAAATCCCCACATCTCACTGCCAGTGCTCCAACAGACAAGAGAGCTTTTGTCATAACTGCGGCTTCAAAGGCAGCCGCACTGAAAAAAAAAGCAAAGATGAAAAAACAAATTGTGTTACTTATGTTACAGACTGTTTGAGCATAATGATATCGCCTTGTTTGACTTTAGAATTAGTGCGTTTTTTATACCCCCCTGTTTCTGAAATCGCTGAATTCTAGTTCACATCCTGCCGGCTGCACGCGCCAAGCAGGCCATTTCGGCAGAGACGTCTCCCTCGCGGGGAGGGTGTAAATGTCTTATTTCTATCTCTGTTTTTTAGGTGTTTGCAGTTGTTTGCGTCTGTTTTTGAGAGTCTTAAATGTAGCTGAAATTACAGTTTTACTGCAGTCATAATTCATCGACTGTAGGGAAGTGTAATTTTTTAGAAGTAATCCATGACAGATACTGGTATAATTACTGTTCTTTTTAAATGAATAAGAACTTGGGTGATTAGCTCTACACTTGTAACTTAGTTTCTCTACAGACAGTACATTACTTTGCTCCAGATTCTTTTTATTTATAAAGAGTAAGCCCTGACACATGCAACTTTAATGGATTTTTAAAGTATTTTTCCCCCCAACACTTCTTGCTTTGCTGCACTTTTACAATGCAGGACCAATCAAAAAAGAACATAAAAGAAGTTTAAGCAGTATATCGTCTTGTCCCAAATATCTTTTTTAATTTAGATCTTTCTTTTTCTGTGATAAATGTTGTCCAAGTTGTTTTTTCAAATTATTTTTCATTTTCTTCCTTTTCTTCAGAATTCTATGCCACACACTCTGAATGGGATTATTACTGTTTCCTGTGCTTTTGTTTCTGTTTCCATGATAGTTGATTCTGTCTCTGAAAAAACTTGCCAAGTTGCCTATGAAGAGTTGTGGTGAGCAAAGAGTTTGCGGCACTATGATCCTCTCCTGATAAATGACGTAGATACAACAACAGAAACATTAAAACCAGCCCCTCAAGAGTGCTTGCAAGAGGTGTCTATGGTATTTTAGCTCAGAAATGGAAAAACTGTCTTAGAAAAATAGTTCACACTACTGTACATCTCTTCAAGATACTGTCTTTCGCCCTGCATTCATGAAACAGACAATTTTGCGATCGAAAACCCCATGTGATCATGGAATAGATGATGGAATCAATAACAGGGAGGTGGGTCTTTGCCTGGGATATGATTGCAACTTCAGTTCCTCACAATTACAGTTTTAAAGGCAACCCAAACAGCTACAGATTGACATAAACATGGACTGCCTTGCAGCTTTTGTAACCTGATACCAGAAATGTCACAGTCTTACATTATATGTTCATGTAGTAAACATGACATGGATTTGATTCCCTCTTCATAAATAACAGTAGCCCTGGCTAGGCATGAGCATCTGGGCTTTATCACCAGTAATCAAGGATAATCGCAGTCGCTGAATAAGCTTTGTAAAATTCTGTCATCATATATATATATATTTTACAAGTGTTTAAGAATGGTAAGCTATATTTACATTTACTTTAAATGATGTTATATACATAGCAAATGTATTCTAAATTAATGTGCTGAAAATAATAATGAAAACATTGTGATCTATATTCTCCAGAACCTCAGACTGCATTACGGTAGTTTTTAATTAAATTGAAACAATTCTAAAACCTTTAGCTCTAATAGTCTACCTTTTTTTTCACCTAGTTTTTATTTTAGTTATAAAAACTAAAAAGTTTAGTTTGAAATGTTGTATTAGGAATTACTTACCATACATTAAAAGTACTTACCATAATATTATTTTGTTGGTCAAAGATTTTGTAGTTCCTTCTTCATTACTGTTTGTGTATTTATATATAATGTATAATAGTTGGACCTTTATTTAAAACGTTTGGGTTTACCAGGATATTTTGTAGAAGAAGCTTAATTTAATTTTATTTTTGTTTGGGATTGTGCTTGTGCTGCTTTGCAACTCTGTAGCCTATCATCTATTCATTCATATTAAATTAACTAAACCTCTAAACTTTATTTAGAGCGAATATGTGGCCTCATTTAATTAACATGCTGTAATTACATTTGACAGTAACAAGAACATTTTTTTTTTCTTGGGGGACATTTGGGATCATTATTTTCAAAAAAATAATATGTCTGTTATCAGAGATCAGGGACTGTCGGGCAGTCTTATAATGTCAAGAACTGGGAGCTGTGGTTCTGAAGTCCAAGAGCCCGGGTGGTCCTGAAAAGATTTGCTCTCTTCTAATGTTTCCCCTTTGTGTAACTTCTTGAATTTTCTGTTGATAAACTTACATTCCAATAGATTGTCCTTGGCCGGTTGCCTGGATTTAATATTGCAATGGTAAATTTGAAAAACATGAAGTTTAAGTTCTGTGCAGACCGAAGTCTGGGATGAAATTGATCTTTCTGACTCTTCTTTGGATCCTCAACTTCTGGGCTTTCTCCGATGGCTCGCCTGGCCTGTTTCACCATTAGGCGTGCAATCTTAGCTGTCGGGGGCTTTAGGGCTTTAACTGTGTTAAGTCCAAAACGGACTGGTCAGACTGTGACTGCAGTGATATCATCCTCTTTTTTTTCCCCCCCTCTCTCTTGATCCTCCTCACAGGGGCTAATTTCGTAACTCGAAAAATCAGCCGTTCAGTGGCTAAGATTCACCTCGGACAGCTGGAGTGTTTCAGTCTGGGTAATCTGGATTCCAAGAGAGACTGGGGTCATGCCAAGGACTACATTGAGGTAGGTTATGGATGAACTGGGGGGGTGGGGCTGATGAAAACACACACACACGTACACACACATACACATACTCGGCCCTGCTTGCCTGGTGGGGTATGTTTTTGTAGATCATTAGATCATCTGCAGCAGAAGTATTTGATCTGCATGGAGTCTCTTGTGAACTGGTGCCAAAGGGGAGTGGACCACTGCTGGGACACTATGGACACCAGTATGTTTCCCAGAATGAAGCAGTGCCGCAGTCTGCTTGTGCTCCCCATCTTAAAAAGAAGAAGAAATAAAGATTAAGAAAATGACTTATCTTTTGAGTAATGTGTCATGACAGAAATACCGCTTTATGTTTGATATAATGTTGCCAGCGATCAGCAAGTGGCCCAGCCATAAGAAATCCAATAAAGATCAAACCTCTAATATTAAAAGCTATGCCCAATAATTTGTCAAGAGGAATGTTTTGGGATTTAGCTGCTTTGAAAAGCCTTTTGACTCTTCTTTGTAACTCAGAAATTTCTTTAACTGTTTAGTACGTGTCTTTTATCTTCTGATACTTTGGTTTTTTTTTCCCGTTTTTGCTGAGGAAAAGCGCTCACACGTCGTTTCAATAAGAAAGATTATGCCAGTTTACAGGTCTTTTCTGTCCAAGTGCTTAAAACACCCACTTGACTCCTTACCCTGTCTGAAACGAAACGGCCAGATTAGGAGTGATTGGGATTTGCCCATGAGCATTGACGCCCCAACAGGTACACTACATCTAGGAATTCAGATTTGGATATTAGACAGGAGATGTTACAGCTCAGCAAAGCACACAAGTGTTAATTTAATGTGGATCTTCAAACATTTCCCAGACTGTTTGTTTTCTTTGCTCTTTTTACTCCTCATTCTCTCTTTTCCGTTTGATTGAATCAGGCAACCGCAAAGTATGATGTCTGTGTTGTGTAATCAAAAAAAATCAAGAGAAGGATTTAAGTTTTTGGATCAAAGTCTCTCAACTCTCTGTGCCTCTGTGTTGTGTTACAAAGAGCTATAAACACCTGTAGTAAACTACCGGTATGTGTATTTAAAAAAAAAGAAAAACTCGAGTCAGTTTGCAATCTTAAATCAAATTTTTTAAACAGTGGTTTTAACTTCTGTTTTGCTCTATTAAAATCAGTTTTCCTTTAGCATATCTTACTATTGCTTGCCATGTATCTGTCACATAAAATGCTTGCAGAATTATGAGGAATATTTTAACAGCTCTTGGGACATCTGACATGGAGTTGTCAGATCCCTATGAACTTTGTTTTTACTTGTACCAAGTAGATTTTATAAATATGATGGTCGTCGAAGTTGACTTGCAGTTTAATTGCAGCTGAATTGTGAGTGGAATGAATTGTGAGGGGATAGTCATCACTAACCACAAATGTTTCATTTAGCTAGTTTTGCTCCCTTTTTATGTTAATACATTTGTTGTGCACAAAATAAAACACTCACCTTTTAAATTAAGTGTTTATTTCAACCAATTTTAAGTGTTATTGCTTCCTTTAAATTCATTTTACCACCAGCAGTTGGGAATCTTCACCCTTTGTAATAATATCTGTAGACTACTTAGTAAATGTATTTTTGTGTATTCGTGATTTAATCACAAACTTAAAGATGCCGTTTTAGTTAGAAGAGATGCTGTTTTGTATTCTTTGAAAAAAGTGTACATGGGGGAGGGGAAATTGATATTTTACATGTTCTGGAAAAACATATTTGATTTTGAAGTCTTTCAGGCATCTGCTTAGTTGTAAAAAGAATAGTAGTTTTTTTTTAGTTGCCAAGTGCTAGCATGTTAAAGGTTGCAAGGTTAAAATAAACAATTAGTACAACCCCTTTAGATTAAAAGGCTGGTGTTTAATTACAGGATTTTGTGTGCTGTAAAAATCCTCTGAAAAGATTGGGCCTTGTTATAATTTTAGACCTTTATTTGCAAACACGTTTGTTGCTCTAAGCAGAGAAAGAGGGGTGGGGGTGGAAGGCTTAGGGTTTGGGCCTGCTGAGTCGGTTTCCCTTGGTGACATCCAAACAGGTTTCCTGTGTGTACACTGCTATTCCTGTCTTGTTGAATCATGCATCCCTAGGACACCATTTCTGGTTTCCCAGTGGTAATTTTGTGAAATTTAAACAGTAGCTGAAAAAATGACCAAACATGGAAAAAAAGCACACACGCGCACAGAACAACACAACACATGCATGAAAAAAGAAGCCCCGGTCCTCTTTGACAGAAGACCCGGTGCAGAGCTCTGTGGTTTTCCCATTATGTTTTTTGGGGAAAAAATGAATCCAGATGTCAACCCGCTAATAAAAAAAAAATCCAAGCTGGGAAATGAAAGAAAATCATCTTAATAAGGAACATCACATTTTTGTACTCATGTTTAAATAAAAATGTACATTCTGTGGTACTTGCAGAATTGGTATAATCTAAAAGCAGGATGGCTTTTCAGTTGAAGGTTATTGAGAGAGGTGCACTCTTTTCAGTTGCTGCGTTTAACACCTCATGAGGTTCTCAGAAAATGTATAGCTTTGTTAGTTTTTGGAAGTATTTTGTAGCCTTGACCTGTCTCACTTTGTGTGATGAGATTCATCTAGTTTTGACAGGTGGTCCGACTGAAATATTTGCAGCGCTGAGCTTGCATAACTTCTGAAACATCAGTGCATTATTTCTCGAATTAAGAATCTTGATCCCCTTCTGTACTGGTACTGGCATGGTCAGAAAATAATTCCTTTTTTTTTTCTTACGGTAAGACCAAATCCAAGTTTTTATATAATGTGAACTTGCGGTCATCTGTTGGTGATTTTTTAATATAGTTTGTAAAATTGAAAACGTTTAAATTACATTTCTTACAGCCAATGTTTTAAAATTATATTAAATTACCAAAAGTATGTAATATTTAGTATGTAGTATATTATGTATTTCTGTTCTGTGAGTAGCAGTTTTGGCAGTCGATGTTCACATGATATTTAGCAAGATGATAATACCATAACCTAACAAAGATATTTCCACATACAGTACTTTGTCTTCGTATACTGTATAACATTTCTACACTTGTGTCTTTTTCTTTCAGCCCCTGTGCATAACTAAAGTAACTAAACTCATTTTGTAATCAATTATTTGATTTTATTTCATTACCTCAAAGAAATTAATTAATTCTGTGTTTCAAATTTGTTTGATAAGGAATTAACTATTAACTTTATATAAGCTACAAATTTAATTTAATGAGATAAGATTACACATTTCAAATGTGCTGGCTATGTAAATATTTGCAAAGTATTTCAAATTTCATTAAGTTCATAACAATGTTCAGAAAATAGACTTTGACATCAATTTGCTTTTTACAAAGGCACTTCTGTGGGCTCAAACTTTCATTTTATTTCCTGCTTGTATAACAAAGTTTTCAGAACAATTTTAATTTTTGTCCTGAACCAATTTAAGCTTTTCAAACTCATTTTACACTTGTTTCATTGTTAGGCTGCATGAGGAGTTAAGGGTGTCTAATCTGCAAAATTCTAGTGAAGCAAGAAGTTAGATTTAGGTTGTGAAAGAGTGAAGGACAGTTCAGCAGGTTAATGTATCACCTTCAAGTTTTTTTATCAATATACTGTAAAAGGAGCTATGTGCAAATACTATTTCCAGACATTTAAGTAAAGTTGTTTTGCATAGCTTCTTTATACTTTAGTTGTCAGTACTGTATAGAAAAAAAGTTTAACATTAGGATTGGGATGGATTTTTTTTGTAAATGTTTCAAACCACAACTTTATAAACTTCATCTTAAAATTCACTTCGCACAGAAGTTAATTGCAAAGAAATTCCTGTGACCCCCAGTGTAAATTTATAATGGTTTTCTATACTTTACATTCAGTAATGTGTAAAAGTGGGAGGAGTTTCTGGCTCCTCTAACACAATCCAGGTGATTCTGTTACCTGTGTTCTGTTACTCAGAGTGAGATCTAAAAATAAGACAAAAATGCAATTTTAAAACCCCATAAAATTGAATTACCAAACAAAACTTAGAATTATGGAAAGAATACTGTGCAGCGATTTTAATTTGATGTATCTCTCAGATACACTCTGGTAGTTGGGCACAGTAATAATCCTCTGCACTATGTGCAAAGTTTAATTATTTGACCTGTGGCATCTAGGATTTTGTTTTCCAGTGACAGGACTAGAGCGTGTTACTATGATATAACTGGACTATTGCGTAAATAATCAGAACCATATGTCCTGTTCTCTCACATGCTTTTAACATTGAAATTGTTCCTAATTGCTTCTAAATATATTTTGTATGGCATGACAGGCATGTTATATATCATCTTGTCTCCTTTAATGCCGTCTACAAATGTGTGGTTGTTATCTTGTGCATTTCGTCTAGCCTGCTAAAATTATGTGTCATTCTTAGAAGATGGAATGGAAATTTGCTTGTATTTTGAAAACAGATAATATGTACAGTAATTGTTCCGTGAAGCTCACTCATGAAAAACAGCTTTCTCATAATGGAAAGCTTTATAATCTAAAAACAGTTTTGCCACTATACATTTTTACTACTATTAGAAGAATAGTTCTAATAATGTGAAACATGCTTTTTTAGAACAGTTCAAGCATATAGACTGAAAGACATAAATTTAAGAAAAGATGCAAAATGTTTTTAACTAAACTTGACTGGGTTGTATGTAACATTCTGTTCCTGCTAAAGCTTTGGAGAATAATTATTGTACAGGGGGAGAATGGAGAGTAAAATCATGAGGGCACTTGAAAAGAAAACTGTGTGTAAACATTTTTAAGTATATTATTCATTTAAAGCAAAACTTTACTAGCAAGTATATTCTGTCATTTTATTCTGTCGTTCTGTCTTTTGTTACACCCTGGAAGACTTGTAACCTTGTGAGAGTGTGTCCATTTACCTCACACACATAAGCCTTCACACAGCTTTTCTGAACGTTACGGTAAGACACAAACGCCAAGAGGTGAAAATTGTTTCAATGTACAGGTGG